AAAGATCTTCCTAAGATCTTCTTGTGACTGAGATTAACCCTACTGCTTAAAAGTTGTTATGCTAAAGATCTGAGTAGCAATATCAGAAAGCAGATAAATGTGATTTTGAAAGGATACTATTTCTTCCAGATCTCAATGACACTGAAATTAGGAATGAGTGAGGTGAAGGACACCACCTGAATAACTGTGGTGAGAACCTGGTACCTAGCACAAAGAACTGAAATGAAGAGCTAAAAAAAAAAAAATCACAAGTTATCAAGAAAATTGATTATTATCAAGAAAATAGATTATTATCAAGAAAATAGATTATGTCCAGATTCTTGAGCACAAGGTAGTCCAGAGCCAGGTTTTGGATGTTCACAGAGCAAAATAACACTGAAAAACGTGGAGGGTTCATGTCCTTTTGCAATTTAAATCCTTTGTAACACCCTTTTGTGATACACTGCTTGCTGATTGGATATTTCTGGGATGCAAGGAGTGCTTCCATGGAACACCAGTGCATTTTGTGGTTATACATCATGCAGTGATAGGCACCCCAAGGAAGGCAGCTGTGCTTTGTCTGTTCACTCTGTAGTTGCCAACTTCAACTGGTCTGGAGGAAATAATGGGATCTTTCCGTGGTGGCACCCTCGGTGATGGATGAAAGGCAGTAACAGCAGCTCCCAGCGATAATTGCAGCACTGCCTGGCTGTCTCCTGCTGCTTTAGAAGCTGTGTTTGCTCCCCAGATTGTGGTGATTACTGAAGGAGTTTGCATGTGAGAGGGAAAAATGAGCTGTTACAAACAGGGACAACTGAGCCTCGAATGTTCCCTCAGAAGAGGATGAGATAAACACAGCTTAGAAACAGTGCAGTTTGGCAGGAGGCTTTCTGGGATTAGAGTGTGTTTGAAAAAGACAATGGGCATTGATTTCGTTGCTGTCTCTTCTCAGATTGACTAGGGGGCTTTAAGATGATAGAGATGTGTGTGTCTTTATAGAATACCATTTTCACTTTTAAAAAGAGAGGTGGAAAAGAATGGTGGTTAGAATGACAGTGATTGACAACTTGCTTTTAAAATCTGAGGGAATGGAACCACAGTCCTCTCAAATTGCACTTGCCTGTTAGCAGCAACTTAAGAATCCATTTTCAGCATGAATGTTATATGTATAACCATCAGACTTAGTGGCTAGACTGCACAGTAGGTCTCCCAGTTATGCTGTAAATCTTCCAGATTAGGGGACAGTGTGGATTTTATGAATATGTAAAACAGGGTTTCATCCCTTAGTGCAGACAAAAAGAAATAAGTCTGTGTAGCTTATTCTTGAGCTTGGGATAATTCAGCCTTGCAAGCAACAGACTCCTTCTGGTGTATAATGCTGGAAGTCTTTGTTTTCCAGGTTTTTTTGGAGAACTGAATCTGTCCTTTTCATTCATTCCTGCTCTGCCAGATACGATTGTCTGCTGAAAAACAGGAAGAGAGTAGTGTCCATAACACTTTGAGGACTGAGGCTGGTGGATCAGAGACAAGAAATTCACAAGGAAAGTACCCAAAGGCTTTGGCAAACTAGGCGAGATGAGATAGGAAATACTCACAGTCCTTTGCTTATATTTCTTCTTGTTTTTCTTCAGAGCAAAGAAACATTGAGAAGAACGTGAATTTCAATCTGTATTTGGGCACTGGAAGTTGAGTAGACATTTCTCACCCCTGGCCTGAGGCTGCAGCATTCAGTATAAGCCCAGAGACAGCAGCACAGGGCTAGCTGTGTGCCACACCTCTGTCAGATGGGAGGAGATCCCAGTCTGAAGACAGAATAATCTCTCCTGCCCTTCTCAGCCCTTCCTGGACACTGCCAGCCAGTTCTGCAGCTCCTGCTTGCTGCAGCAGCATAATCTGTGCTCCAGGCTGCAGCAGCACAGCTCTAAGTGTGTAGTTCATAGAGTCCCCATCTTGCTTTGTCAGTCCTCTCTGCTGTGCATCTCCCCCAGAGGCACTTTCACCTTGAGCCTTGTCTTTTGGGAGGGAGAAGGAGTGACAGTATTGACTTTTCAGGAAGCCAAGGCAGCATGTAGCTGCCCAATACCCACTGTACACCATCACTATTCAGAAAGAAGGAACAAGAATTGTGGCTGGTGGGAAGCCAGCAGCATCAGCCTTCTGCTGCTTCCTGTATGAATCCTGTGAGCCCTTTAGTGGTCAGTGCACATTTGTCATCTCATGCTGCAGATTCCCCTCTTAGGCATGAATTAGTGGTGGGTCCTTCTTTAGAGAGCTCAGGTGAAAGTGTGAACACTTGTCACAGTTCAACCCTGACCCTGGGGAACCTTGATGTATCTGATCTGGAGTCTTTTCAGTCTCTTTTGCAATCCTCACAGACTTCTGCTAGCTTGTGCTGTTCAGTCCAGAGGCTGGAGCAAGAAAGTGCTTTGATGGGGATTCGGGGTTCCCTCCCTCTGGAGTCTGAGTCTTCTCCAGTCCTTGGCCATTCCTGCTTTGCTCCTGATGATTCAGGTCCCAGCATCCTGACCATGGGAGAGCAGCTGGCTGCAGTAAGAACCAGTGCTGCTCAGGCAAGATTGAAATGGAGTGTCCCCTTTGCTAAAGACTGGAGCCTTAGTGCAGTGACAAGAGACTTCAGTGCTGCTGAGCCTCTCTCTGGCTCTTACAGATACAGATTCATTGGCTCTAACACATGGAGAACCAAAATTTCAGGTGGCATCCAACCACAAACCCTTGCTTCTGGAGGGGGCTCTGGCAGGCTAGTGGGTACAGAAACAGATTCCTCCTTCAGTTGCTCCCCTTTCTTCAGGTGCCAGTCCCTGGTAAAGCCATCTCTGGAAACTGGTTGTCTTTATGTTCACAGAAAAAGTCATTCTTGTGGAAGGGCTGTTAAAGGAGAACAAACATCTAATGGGGGCTCTTCATGTGCTGAGTCTTGGATGAAAAACCTTTCAGCCAGTCTGGATCCAGAGGGTCTGCAGGTGTTACTGGAGACAGATTTGAGGGGAGCTCAGAGGAATGTTTGTGTAGCCATGTGTGGCACTCCTACAGAAGTGTGTGTGAGCATCACTTCTCATCCTGGAGATAAAGAGTTTAGACCAGGCCAGCAGCTTAGTGCTAAATCTGTAGAAGTCAACAACTGTGATGTTAAGTGCAGCAAAGAGTCAGAAGAGGTGTGTCACTCCAGATCACCAGCAGGCAGAAGAACAGCTGCAGTGGGCAGCTGCCAGTCCAATCCTTTGGGTACACCAGCTGAAGAAGGCTTTAATGAACATTCTGATGTAGACTGTGTGAACATGAGCAGAGAAGAAAGGAGAAACAAATACTCCTGCCAAAGCAGCCGGTGGAATTTGGAAGCTGATGGCAATCTTGAGCAGCCTGAAGAATGTTCTGTAGGAAGGAATGCCAAAGAACCATGGTGCTGTGAAGAAGGGAACCAGACACAGAGAACTGTGCCCAGAGAGGTGAGGGTGTGGTCACTGTGAAGCATCTCTGTCCACAGCTATTACTTGTGCTTGTTTCTGCCACTTGCTAGAGGTGCAGAGTTGAGGTACAAGTGATGGGGATGCTTGTCCTATCAATTTTTCTTGTCACTGAATAGCCAGAATCTCATCTCTTACAGTCCTTCTTCATCCCAATGTATGCATCTTTCCATCTCACATGTTTCTTCCTAAAGACCAGCTTGCCAACTTGGTTGTTTTGGGAATGTAACCACCTGTTTATATTCCCTAATCTGCATGCTGAGGGAAAGCATTAAAGTGGATTTTACTCTGTGCATTGTTGCAGGGCCCTGGATTTCAGGCTTTTTGTGCCTTTTTATGTCTGAAGTACATAAAAATACTCACAGAGCAATGGTGTGGGAGCAGTGTCCAAGGCATCCCACATAATACATGATTTTGAGGCAGTCCTGCTCTGGTCTCTATCCAGAATGATGTGTGCCACAAACACAAATTCTTCAACAGAGTGGAGCAGTGTGAATAATTGTGAATTACTGTGTCTTGTCTGTTTGCAGATCTCAGAGAACAGCTTCTGGTCATTGAAGGTGAATGAGCAAAGGTAAAAAGACTCTGTGTTTGAGTGTGAGTGTGCTGGTGGTTAACCAAGGAGCACTCCTGGGAAGTGGCTAAGGAGCCATGTCCCTGGGAGCATTTGGGTTTGGGACTTAACCTACATTAATCTGCTGTGGTTGGCTGAGGGGCTGCATCCACTTCTTTTCAAAGGGTTGTCATTTAGAATAGAGCATGACCTAAAATATAATTTCTGTATCTTTTCAGTGCTATCTTCTAAATTCAGCTTTGGTTGTTGCTAGAAATGAAGTGTTGGTATAATCAGTGCTACTTTTCAATGCAGCAAATTCTGATGTGCTCCCTACACAATTAGGGAAGATCAAGAGCTAGATTTATCCATGAGATGGAATTCAAATTTGTGGATAAGACATGAATGAGGTTGCTACCTGTTCAGCAACAGTGATTCCTTATTTAGATGTGAGATTGCATGTTTTCCATTCTTTAGAGAGAATGATTTGAAATAACCTCTTTGGCTGAACTCTGATTGCCACCTCCTGGCTGGTTTGACTTTCCTTTCTGTGTAACAGGAACTCACCTCTGTTTTTCATTTTTAAGTTTCTGGCACTTGTGTGACAAACAAATCCTAGCAAGGTGTTTCCAAGCCTGGAGGAGATACATCCTTTGGAAGAGGGCAGCCACACAGCTCTACAGACACCAGCTGCTTCAGAAGGGCTTTGGTGCTCTGCAGGGGATTGTGCACCAAAGGAGGACACAACTGGAGGTGGCCCAGCAGAGACATGCTTCAGCTCTGCTAGCTGCCAGCTTCCAGAGGGTGAGCACTGCCTGGGGACAGTGGTGCCATGAACCTTCTGCTGTGCAGTCAGAGGCAGCACAAATCCTGTTTGGGTAGGGAGGAGGAAGGGGTACCCTGTGTGAAATTCTGTGGTGTAGACCCTGGTGCCAATACTCTGTCTGCAGTTTGTTCTGATCGTGTGGTTTCTTCTTCAGTGGAAGGAAGCTATGGCAAAGCAGAGCCAGAAGAAAGCTCTGCAGCCTGAGCCTTACTCCTACACTCAAAGTTCATCAGTGGGGAGTTTTGGAGTAGGAAGATTGGCCACTATGACAGCCCCAGCTCAGCATCAGCTTCCAGCAGGATACTCAAAGGAAGTGGAGCAGGCTCATAGGTAAGCAGAGAGTATTCTCTTTCTGTTTTCTTGGACAAAGGATGGGTTACAAACACAGGGCAATTTTTTTCTCAAATGATGGCAGACTTGTTTCCATGTCCTTGGATGTATTGCTGTGGATGAACACTGCAAGAATTAGCAGTTTAATGTTAAAAACTAAACAGTCCTATTTCAGAGCTTCTGTGTACCAGTGTTTGCAGTCTGAGTGTCTGACAGAAATACTCCTGTACTAATTCTTTGCTTCAGCTATCACCTGCATGTGTGATACAGGGGTAAATGAGGTTGGAGTGAGGCAATACTACAGTCTCTAGCAGCAGTTTGGCAGTAGAGGTGTCAAAAGAAAAGCCTTTTGTTGAGGCTTCTAATTCTGAAGGCAGAAGAACAGGTTGAGATGAAAAGAGAGAGGAAAGCCCTGGGTTCTGTTCTGTGAGTGCCTCTTTGGACAGCTGGATGTTAAGGATGTTTGTGGCTCCCTCAGGATGGAGGCAGAGCTGTGGACACAGTTTCGTCACAGGCAGAGAGGAGATGAGTTCTGCTGGGGAGTTGAAGCAATCAGAGACATGAGGAGGCTGGCTGGTAAGCACACATTCCACAGCCTTGGAACAGCCTGGAGGTGTTCACTGTTTCACCAGTTCTTGTGCTTTGTGTCTGGTTGTTGCTTTGAGCTCTTTCAGAATGTGATCCTGCAAGTGATGTTGCATTTGTGGGGTTTCCAGGTGATGGAAGGAATGATGACTCTGACTCCATGTTCTCAGAAGAGAAATTATTATTTTATGATACTATATTACATAAAAGAATACTATACTAAACTATACTAAAGAATACAGAAAGGACACAGACAGAAGGTTAAAAGATACTAATGAAAACTTATGATTCCTTCCAGAGTCCTGACACAGCTTGGCCATGATTGGACATTAAGTCAAAACAATTCACAGCAGAAACCAATGAAACAATCACCTGTGGGGAAACAATGTCCAAACCCATTCCAAAGCAGCAAAACACAGGAGAAGCAAATCAGATAATTATTGTTTTCATTTTTCTCTGAGGCTTCTCAGCTTCCCAGGAGTAAAATCCTGGGCAAGGGCATTTTTCAGGAAATATAACGGTGACAAAAGTAGCTGGACCAGTATGTGTGATGGTGGAGGATGGCCACTCACCATGCCACACAAGTTTTGCCTCATTCCTTGTATGAATTCAGCTGCAGCATGTGTTGGTCCAGCAATGTGAGCTGCCTTCCTTAAGTGTCCTTCCTCTGGCAGCTTGGATTTAAGCCAGGGAGTGTTTGCTGTGTGACACGAAGGTGTTTGAAGTTCTTCTGCTATTTCTCTTCCTGTCAATCTCCTCCTGCCCTGTGACACAGCAGCTTTCAGACTGTGGCGCCTGCAGAAGGAGCTGCTGAGCAAAGAGGAAGCCAGGCTTTTGGAAGCCCGTGCTCTGCTGGAGAAGAAAAAGCTACAAAACATTTTCTGGATGTGGCATTCCCAAAGCTTGGAAATGAAAAAGATTCTAACACTGACAACTCAAATCCAAAGAAACTTGGTCTCCCGGTGAGTTGGTGAGATCTGGTTTTCATGTGAAAAATCTGTTGTTTGTGAAAGTCCATGGAATAACAGAGCCAACCCAACAGTAACAATTATTCCATCTTAAAGCCATCTATCCTTTTGTTTTATGAGTTAATAAAGATGAAGGTAAAGGTAGAAACATAAAAAGGAACTGCTGTGGCCAGAGATGTTATGACTTGCCTCCTGTGCACTGCCAAAATTTTTTGTCCTGACTTTTGATGTTCTGAAAGACCAAACCAAAGAGCAGCCACTGTGCTGCTGTGCTCTAAGCATGACAGTGGCTATTTACTGAAATAAACAAAAAAAAGCTCAGGGGTCAGCTTGTGTCTGTCTTCCCTGAACTAAACCTAGTCTCAGGAAGACACATAATCTTATTTAAGTGTTTTTCAACATTTTCCTTTGGTATTCTCAGGTGCTTCAGTACATGGAAGGAGACTGTTGAGCAGAAGGCACTTGACAGGTGCAACCTGGCCCATCTCAGAGCAGTATCACTGAGGAGGCACTTCCAGCAGTGGGTTGGGATGCTGCAGGTCAGAAGAAGTGATAAGCAGGCAGTGCTGAACCTCTTCCTCCTGCAGTGGAGGCAGCATTATGGTGAGCAGTTTGGGCTCTGTGCAGAATCTAAACTTTAGATGTGCTTAGGCTCCTTCCTCCTCTTGCACACTGAAAACAGCCTGAAAACAGAGGGGCTCAGATGATACAGGGTGTGAACAAACCAGGGTGGGCAGAGGGCTGGTTCTGGGTGTGTCAGTGAAGCTACAGGGAGGTTTGTTGCTCTGCATCATAAACCAAACATAAACTCTTAAACCTTGCTGAAAAGAAGCAATTTGAGGGTTGGGCTGGGCTGACTTGGAATGCCTTGAGACAATCTCTTGTTCCTTTATGTAACTGGTTAAGGAGCAGTTGTGGGCTCAGCAGCTGACAAGAATGTGACAAAGAGGCATGAATGTCAGATATGGACAGGAGAGAAACAGTTTCTGGAGAAAACTGTCTGTTCTTTTGATGACTTCTGCCAAAAACTGAAGCTGCAGAGAGTATATCTGCTGTGGAAAACAAGGCTCTGTGAGCATCACAAGGCTGAGTGAGTGCAGAAGAGCCAGTCCCTGGAGCCCTGCCCCCATTAGTAGTGTCCACTTGATTTTCTGAACCTTTTGCTAGAGCCCCTTTTACCCTGTCTATTGTCCATCATGTCTGTGCTAGTCACCCCCTCTGGTGTTCTTCTTCTTTCACTTCACTGTCTCAGTATCTTCTGTCTCAGCTCTTTCTCTCAGACTTTGGAGCAGTGTAAACTCAGAAAAACTCTGAAATTATGGCACCAAAAGTATCTCATGCTGAAGACAATTGAACAAAGTTCTAAGCACTTGCACACAGCTGTCTGTGAGGAACCTCTTGCCATGCTGTTTTCTGAGGACCTCTCAACATCATCTGGCTTTGACAGCAGTGCACCAGCTACTCTGACCTCTCAGAGCTCATTGGAAAAGGTGAGAAGGTCTTGGTACACCTAGAGTGCTCTGGGATATTAAATTGCTGGGATTTTTCAGGGGAAAATTTCTGCTTCAACATGGTATTGTCATCAGCAAACTGTGCTTAAAATGTAATGCTGAATCTGTGGGGTCTTCAAGCTGAAATGAAATCTAAAGGTGTAAAGTCAATGCTCTCTGTGCCTTTTCTGGTTCATCAATTAGAGATGTGGGAAGCTGAGCTAGTGAGTTTCCCTTGTACAGTTGTTTCTGTTTGTGGCTGCAAGGTGGAAGGGATGAGATATAAAGAGCTTCCTCACTGGGACAGTGCACATGCTCATTTCCCCTTTTCTCCATATAGAAATACATGTGTTTCTGGATTCAGTATGGAAATTATTAGTATAGAAATAACTTTCCCATCACTTACATGTTTGCTCTCCAGAGGTGCCATGGCTAGCCTGCAATTCCTTTGGATGCATTTTGGATTTGCCTGAAACCTTGATAAAAAAAGGAATAAATGGCATGGCCAGAGCTGTTAGCTGGGCTCTTCCACTGTGAGAACACTCACCTCACAGCATGTTCCTCCTTCCTACCTGCAGGAATGCAGTCTTAGTGACAGCAGCCAGCATGGCTTCTCCTCCCCTGTGGCTGCTGAGGATGTCACACGTGTGTCATGCCACAGTTCTTTCCTTCAGCTCCACCAGTGCACAGAGCTGCCAGCTGAGCTGTGCTTGCAGAGCTCCTTCCCTGCATCTGGGTGAGTTGGAGACTGGTTTTTTGGGATGCTGGTAGGAGTAACCCTTGTTTGAACTGGCTGAATTCCTTCCTTCTGGATAATCCCTCATGTCATGTCACACCATCCTTCCAGGGGACTTTATCTTCTTCTTTCCTTCCTTCCTCACCCAACACTTCTGTCTTGCAGAAGAAATTGGTTTGTGGGAAATCAGTTCCAGTCTTATAATTCCCAGCCTCTCACCAGTTACTCTGCATGGGAAGAGGTAAGGCTAGAAAGTGTGTAAAATGTAAATAAACAAGTGTTTTCTGCATATTCAAATTTAGCAAAGAGCCTTTGGGTTTCAATATCAGCATATGGAAGGCCTCACTGCTATTCTGTTCTCTCTCAAACAGAAGATTTGGGAGATTGAGGCTTTTCTCAGGGTAACTCTTCCCTCCCAGCTGAGTGGAAGTAGGGTAGGTGTCAGGGATTTAGAAAGGACGTGTTAGACCCTCATGTCTGGCTGTTCATGTGGGGCATGTCAGGGATTTAGAAAGGATGTGTTAGACCCTCATGTCTGGCTGTTCATGTGGGGCATGTCAGGGGTTTAAAAGGATGTGTTAGACCCTCATGTCTGGCTGTTTATGTGGGGTGGATGGGTTAGGGATGGAGCTGGGCAATCACACAGTGACAGTGGCAGGGAGACACAGCTGAGCTGTGTGGAGTAACTGATATAACAGCAGTTCAAGGCCCTTTTTTGCTTTCTGGATTACAGGATTACACCTCTGACAACTCAGTGAGGAGTTGCTGGCAGCAAGCAGAGCAGCACTGCCTGCAGAGGTGCTTCATGGTCTGGTCAGCTCAAACTCAACACCATGTGAAGGCCCAGCAGCACTGCAGGCGTGTTCGGCTGTCTCGGTAGGGATCATGATTTCTAGAAGTTTCCTAAAGCTCTCTGTTCTAAAAGCTTTACACTTGCTTTAATTAAAAAAAAAAAAAAAGAAAAAAATTCTTCCTCTAGCTATTTTATTTTGTCTTCAGTGGGATTTTTGCAGCCCATTATTTTGGGGTTTTTCCAGCTTCAAAATGACTGTGTAGGAACACAGTAATTTCTGGTTTGATGGAATGCCTTAGGAATTAGAGCAAGCCCAGCTCTGCTGATAACAAGTCCTGGTAACTTCCTATCCACTGAACTGGCCTTGCTCTCTACTGATTCCAAAGCTGAAGAGCACAACAGGCTTGGCACAGCCAGGAGAGAAAACCTAACTCTGAACAGCTTGTCCTGTCCATCATTTCCCCTGATGTTTAATGGGGAAAGGATGTTTACAGGTCAGATGTGTTTCCAAAACTCCCTCGTGTGTATGTTTGTTGTTAAATTTTCCATTACAAAGGTGTGTATCTCTGTGAGTTGTTCCCACAGTCAGTGCAGCAAACTTTGTCCTTCTCAGAGCCTTTCTCAGCTGGCACCAGTGGGTCATGGAAAATAAGAACCAAGAAGCAGCAGCAGCACTAAAACATGGAGTTCATTGTGTCCAGGTGGCTTTCAGCCTGTGGAAAAGGAGACTGGCCCAGAAAGTGGAAGCTGACCGGAGATTCAGGTGTCATGCTCACCAGATGACTGCTGATGCTCTGTGGCATTGGCACTCCTGCTGGCAAAGTGAGTGACCCCATCCCACTGCATCACTGGTCTCTAGAGAATACAGCAGCTCTGGGAATAGTTGGGATGGAGAAAGTCACACTTTTGGCTGGAATTCTGTGCACTGCTCCTCTGGAAAAACACATACCAGGAGTTAGCAGGTGCATTGTCACTGCATTCTGTCAGTAGGACATGTGATCTACTGTTCTGTTGTGCTTTAAATTAGGGAAGATGCTCCTTTGACACTTCTACCTGCACAAAAGTGTGTTCAAGCACTGTATTTTAGGAGCTGGGGAGTTAAATGGGCTTCCATGCAGCATTCCAAGTTTGAACATGTCTCCTCAGCCCAAGCAGTCAGGTTGGGAACAGGGAACAGTTAAGATTGTATCTTAACAATCCTGATCCCTCAAGGAATTCCATATGCTCTAAGTACTTGCACTGTGCCAGGGAAGAAAAACTCCCAATTTTTAATGGAAAACTGCCTTGCAGATAAGAGTGGAAGTAAGCAGTGATCTCTTGCAGGGAAAATTTGAAAGAAGGTCTGACTGCCTTGCAGACAAAAAACTAAAAGGTGAATTCAAAAGTTTCTTTAGCTGCTTAACAGAGGACAGGAAATGTTAGCAAGTTAGGTCCCATTTGGTGTTTGCAGGAGATGTATTCTTTGCTGTTATTTCTCTGGAGAAGCAGTCCCTGGGCTCGCTGAGGAAGGTGTGCTCTCTCACAGGGAGCCGTGCTCTGGCAGAGCTGCAGCAGCAATGGGCCTGGCACAGCTGCCAGGAGAAGAAGAGGCTGGTCCTGCACACATGGTACTGCCAAACAAGGAAGCAGAAATATGCTGTTTTGTTCTGGGAACGTTTTCTCCTGCACAGGTTTGTTTCTTGCTCTCAATGCATTTCCAAAGGAAGCTCTGCATGAAGAGCAATTTATGTAGTGGTATCCACTTATGTAGTAGTATCCAATTTATGTAGCATTATCCTGCCTTTGAAAGTGTGGATAGCTCATGTATAAATGGAGCTTCTGTAGCAGCACTTCTCTGAGGATGTCTCTATTAAAGGGTCTCTTAACTAAAGCCTCACACCCCACCTCATTTTTCCCATTCAAAAATTATTTTCCTTCCAGAACTTGTATTCAGTCTTTGTTGTGCAGGGTGGTGTTTGTGCACTAAGCAAAGGAGAGATGCAGACAAATTTCTGCAGTTTAAAATTTGCAAGCTTTATTTGCACCTCAGTGTTTGCTGAAAGGAATGGTGGGCAGAGAGCTTGCAGAGATCTGATGTTTACAAAGTTAATCTTTTAGGATTCTGACACAGTGGGTTGATTTTAATTTAATGTAAAAAGTTGAGATTGTTTTGTTCCTGCAGCAAAGCAGTGTAAAGTTTATGGAGGGAGAACCATGATATTCAACTCATCTTGGGGTTATTACAATATAGGTGAAGCTGTAATCTGTCTTTGAGTCTTATGTTATATTGACAGATCCTGAAAACACAAGAATTTAAATTTTTTCTCTCTTAACTGTGTTCAGTGGTCTTCTTATTGGAAACAGTTTTGTTTGTAGTTTATGTTCTATGAGGCCAGAGCCTGCCTGAAGTGCAGAGAAGTGTCCAGCTGTAGTGAACCAGAAAATAATTCAGGAGGATAAGAATGAATAAGATTATTTATGCCAAGGGTTCATTTTAAGGTACGAGAAGTGCAAGTTTGGCCCTATAAGTTTTTCTTTTGAATTGCAGGTTCAGACAGAGAGAACACAAAGATCTGCAGAGGAAAAGGCAACTAAAAACCCAGTAAAACTTTGGTGATGTTTAGACTCTGCACTTACCCTATCCAATTGCATTTTCCTCTGCAAATCTGTCTGTGTGGCTCCCTCATGGGAATTGTATTTAGGATAAGCCCTTAATGTTGCTCCTTCCTGTTGAGTGTGTCTCCACCATTAATCTTTTCCTTCTGAGTCTCCTTTGATGAGAGTGTTTCTAATTTCTCACTTGGATGAGCTCTCTCTTTTGAGGGGGGCATTTTTTGTGCTGGGATAACCTGGAACAGCTTCTGTTGATCTTCCAGAAAGCCTGCCAGGCACAGAATATTCACACCTCTGCCCTATGGTGCAGTGGGGTGATTTTATAATGAAGGTCCAAATGGAACAAGGAACCAAAAAGATAAACCAGAATTAAAAGCAGATTGCATTCTCTGCTTGCAGAGGAAGACTGGCCTCCTGTGCATCAGCCTGTGAGATACAGAGAGATTTTTGTGGGTGCAGATTTACAGTGCTGATTATAGTAACTCCTGAAGTTGTTGATTTTTGGAATAAAATTGTCTTTGCAAAGATTCTAGTTGTACATCCCACATACACAGGGCTTTAGTTTATGACAGCCAAGAAACAAAATCTGAATCTTGACAGCAAGTGGCTGTCATAAATGCTGCAAGCAGGCTTCAGGAATCTGCCGGGTTCCATGCTGAAGGAAATTTTAACAGTTTTACTCTCATCCTATAATGGAAAAATGAAAAAGCCTTCATCCAGCACCATCTTTCTGGTCAGCTGGTAACACAGAGATAGTCTGAAGACTGGCTAATTAATTTTTATTTTTTTTAGTGTGTGTGGGGGACCGAGTATGTATACTGACAAGGCAGCCTTGGAAAGAATTTGTTTTGTAGGCAAAGAAAATGCATAGTATAAGATTGGATTCAGTTTGCAGAGGCCTTTGAATAGGAGGAAATGCTAAAATGGCCAGAGGGAAGCAGAGTCTCTTGAGTAGGTGTGAGAGGTAACAGTGCTGGGAACTGGAAGTAAAATGAGGGCAGGTTTTCAGCAGGAAGATGTTTGAAGAGCCTGAACTTGCACCTCCCAGAGATGAGGCACTGGAAAAACACACATAGCATAGAGGTCAATGCATAAATCTTGATTGCAGCAGTAACAGGAACAGGATTTTTTCTTTGTTGAATTCTCTTTGTCTTGCTTTGGCCATGTATGTGGGATACTGCAGGGCAGGTGAGAGGGTGAAATTTGGTCTGAGATGGAATTGTTACTTTAGGCATCTGCTTCTTTTCTGTGCTTGGAACTGTTTTTCAGGTGCCTTGTCTCTTGGGCCCAGGTCACTGCATGTCACCTGAGGCAGCGTGAAGCCCTCTCTTATTTTAAAAGAGTCAGAGAGCACCGACTGCTGGTTGGGAGCTTTGTTAAGTGGAGGGACAAACTCTGGAGAGCTGAGCAGGTGCCAGGAGGGAGCAAGCACAAGTGGCAGGAGCCCTCTCCAGGTAAAGCCTGTCACCGCTGGCGAGTGGCTGCGAGAGGACAGCGAGCCCTGCGCCTGGGATCTGTGACCACTGTCAAACAAGTAAGACAAGATAAAGCTCCCTAAGTATGAGAAGATAAAGGTCCCTATGAGACAGCTATTATTAACTCAGTGAGTCATGAGGCACTGAGGTAGTGTGACAAGGCTTGCATAAAAACCTGGTTTGATTTGTGGTGACTGCTTAGTCCCTGCTGTGAAATTCTTCACCGACTGTGCACACAACTTCATCACCATAATCTGGCACTGATTGCAGCAACCATATGGAGCACAGCAATAAGGAAAGGAGACATTTTGACCAGAGAGATGAGAGCACTCCTTCCTCTCTGCTCAAAGATAAAATGGGATAATCACTGTCCCTGCAGAGCAGAGTGAGTTGCCAGAGATACAGCTTTTTTTCAAAAGACTCACAGCTAGCAAACTACAAAGAAGTCCATTGATTTGGAAGGGCTGAGTCAGTCCTGCTGGGATCTCATCTGTGCAGTTTCCAGCCTGGGGTCTAGCACATTAAGCTGCCTGCAGAGCTGTGAGCCTGGGCTGTGTGAGTGCTGTGTGCATTGTGTTTACTCTTGGCTGCAGCTGTGTTATTTCTCTTTGCAGGCCTGCAACTACTGGACCAGAGCAGCTTCTTTTTCCCAGTGCTTACGGCAGCGCAGCACCCTCATAGGTGTCAGGAAAAGCAGAAAGATGGCTCTCTCTTGGCCCACCAGTAAGATTCTCCCTCCTCTCTTCCTTTCACAGACCCATGTGGGGAGTGTGAGGGAAAGGGGATTGGTGTTCACCAGCTTAATGACTGGGATTCTGTGACCACGTTCACAGGGGTCCGAGGATGAGGGAAGAGATGAGGATCTTGATTCCATGTTTCAGAAGGCTGATTTATAATTTTATTACATATATATTACATTAAAACTATACTAAAAGAATAGAAGAAAGGATTTCATCAGAAGGCTGGCTGAGAATAGAAAAAGAAAGAATGATAACAAAGGTTTGTGGCTCGGACAGAGAGTCTGAGCCAGCTGACTGTGATTGGCCATTAATTAGAAACAACCACATGAGACCAATCACAGGTGCACCTGTTGCATCCCACAGCAGCAGATAATCAATGTTTACATTTTGTTCCTGAGGCTTCTCAGATTCTCAGGACAAAAAAATCCTAAGGAAAGGATTTTTCAGAAAATATCATGGCTACAGGATTCCTCTGTGGAGCAGGAGCTCATGGCAATCAAACTCAGTTGATTTCTGGTGTTCAGGAGTTGAAGGACTGAGGCCTCATGGCAGCTCTGATGTCTCCCTCTCCAAGGTTAGCTCCTGTGTGATTCCTCTTTTGTTTCTTAGAAAGCAGAAGAGGCAGAGAAGAAGATTCAACACCAACTGGACATTTTCCCAGTGCCATTCAGCGCTGGCTGGTGATCTACAGGAGTCAGAACAGGGCTGAGAGGTTTCTGGAGAGACCTGATGGGGTAGGAGCCTCTCATGCTCATGCAAGGATCCAGGAGAACACAGCACGGGTGGACTTGGAGGAGCGGGCTAAGAAGTGGCTTGGGTAAGTGCAGTGCAGGGCTCTGGGCTTCCTCTTGCTGATACTGAGACATAAACTTTAAGGAATTTAGGGATTTTAGAGGAGCTGAGGTTTTAGTTAGAAATAATCAAAATAAATAGGTAGGCATTGATGAAGTTAAGAGTTAGTAATTAACTAATAATTGATTGCTTGTCAACATAATGTTTGGTTAGCTGGGTTTGTAATGAAGAATATAGAAACTGATAAATAGCTTTTAGGAACATCAGACAATTGTGGCCTCCTCTGTTCTGAAACCAACTGACGACAGGAATGGGAGTTGAGTTCTACCAAGGGTTCATTTGTCATATTTGCATTGAAAAGGTAGAAAGGTCAGAACGAGGAAGACTTCATTTACTTCCTCATTTTGGGACCACTGATCCATTTCTAGGAACAAACTATGCATGCTTAACTAATTACCATACGAAGTGGGGAATGAGATGTACCAAAGTTATGAATATGCATTTGTATTTTGGGTATTCAATACTTGTATAGATAAAAGGACTCTGTAATCACCTGTAAATTGCAGTGTGTGTTTGGGAGCTATCCCACAATAAACAAACACTTTCTAACTTTAAACTGTTAGAGAGTCTTTGTCTGTCACAGTTGGATATCAGTACAGGATCAATATCCATATTTTTAATAAATCAGTACCATCAGGGAGGGGCTTCCTTGTATGGCTGGTAAAGCTGATTTGCTTCTCTTGCCTGCAGGAGGAGATACCTGAAGAGGTGGCAGCACACAGTGGAGCTGCACCGGTGCCAGCACGACAGGAAACTGCTGTGCCTGGCAAGGGGGTGGCACCAGTGGAGGGAAGGCAGCAGGGTGGTGATACTGGCTCAGGTGCTGGTGAGTGTCTGGTGCCACTGGGGTGGCAGTGATGGGTTACTGGGCAAGCCTGCTCTAGGAGATGAGACCTGGGGGTTTAATAAACACCAGTAGGCAACAGAAATCCTGGTTTACTGCTGTGGCTGGTTTTTCCATTGTTCTTCTTGGAATGTCAGCTTGACAGACTGGCATATCCACAGATTTAGTTGTGCTTAGCCCTTACAGATGGGAAGCTCAAATAGGATTTGTCTAGATTGTCTGTAGACTGTGCAAAAAGTTCCCAGCAGTTATTATGATCTTTGTCCTCATCTGTGTTCCTGATACATCCCACTGGTGTCCACAGTTTACCAAGAGCTGTCATTTGGCATTTCCCCTTCTGTTCATAGCCATGTTCTGCCTGGTTCCTGGGCTTTAGCTGTGTGAGCTGTGCTCTGGCCTGCCCAGGTAACAGGATGATGCCAGTGTAGTGTGAGCAAATCCATAGCTGGGGCACAATGGGGCATTGTCCTCTCCCCAGGGTGCTGGGATTTACCCACACTGTGCTGCAGAGAGCAGCTCAGCAAGAACTCTGGTTTTAGTCTGCTCTGTTTGTTACCAGTGCAAAGTCTTGTAAGAGGGACTCAGGAAAGCAGCTGGAGCAAGGTGGGACTGGAGGGAGGTGGGGTCATTTGCCTGCCAGAGCCCAGTTAATCTGTGTGCTGCCTCTTTTCCTGGCAGCACCAGCAGCAGCTGATGGAGAAGGCCTGGAGGGTGTGGAGACAAAGATACTTGCAAAGCTGTGTGGTGCAGAATCTTCTGGAGCAGGAAGCCAGGAGCCTCCTGTCTCAGGTAAGCATTTATGCCTTCTTCAATTCAGTGGACCTCAGTGATACAGAAAGCACCCCAAAGAGACAACTGGTGTTCCCTGTGTCTCCCCCTGCACAATGCACTTGCTTGAGGAGAAGATGAACACATCAGGGAATTGGACCAGCCAGTAAAAAAGCTTCCAGCTTTACATGGGTTCATCTATGGGTGTTTTTCAAAGCTTTGTGTCAGGAGTCAATTTCCCTGACATGTGCCCCCTTCCCTGCTGTTATTAGTGGTGTTAATCCCCTAATCCCCTGCCTCTTGAGACCCCACTCAGGGAGGAAACAGGCTCCACATTGGTGCAGGAGGACTGTGCTGACTTGCACCCAGGGGCAAGCAAATCACTATGAATTTATGAATTTGAGCGAGCAGGCAAAGCCTTAGAACTCATATCCAGTAGCTCCTCTGCCTGCATCCCAAAGATTGATGCAGGATTAGGGCCTCCTTTAAGGAGACAGGAGCAGGTACTGAAATTAGAGGGCATTGGTCTTTCTTCTGTCACATTGATTTGTACTCTGCACACCCCGTATTGGCTCCAGGAGAGACAGGGAAGGGTTTTGAGTGAGGGGTAAGGCAGCTGGCAGAGCCATTGCTAGGAAAGCTGTTTATGGGTTCTGTAAGAATGGCTGCAGCCCCTCAAGGGTAACCCGAGTGTTTGATTTGTACACTTTGCTCTTTCAGGCCTTTGGGAGGTGGTGGCAGCTCACAGCATTCCAGTGTAAGGACAAAGGATCCCGCTGAATGCAGGGGCTGCCTGCAGCTGCTGCTCCATTCAGGACACGTGGAGGATCCAGCTCCTGTCACAACAAAGAGGTGGTCCTGTGCTGCCAAAAAAGAACTCTCTGCTCTTACAATAAAAGCAGGGCTGCCACTCGGATGACAGCCAAAGAACAACCAGGAAGAGATTGTACCTAGTGAAAGGTCCTCTTTAGAGGACTTGTGTCTTAACTCCTTAGCAACACAAACAGAGAACAATCCCTTTACCTCTACAGTTGTGAGGGTACATTCTCTTCTTCTCTGGACCATGCTTTTGCTGGAGTTCTGATTAAAGAGCAGAAAAACCTTATAGGCTTTCCTTTTACTCTGTTTTTTCCCTGGACAGGAGCTTGGTGTCAAGGGGGGAGTGTGCAAATACAGCCTTAGAGACGAGCAGGAGTGTGTGAGTGCTGAATCCTTTTGATTTCAAACTCTGGCTTGGGTAGGTACAAACACAGCTCTTTATTTTTAGATTTGGCTTTTCCCCTGGAGGTGGGGGGGCAGATTTCCACATGGCTCCCACCTCCTCCCCCTGTCTAGGTCCATCAGCTCTTCATTAAGCCTTTCAGTGGGTGGCCAACCTCCTGACTGCTTCCTGCTGCTTCATTTCTGTGCTGAATGGGCAAGGTATGAAGAAACCTGCTGGGAACAGCTGAGCACCAAAAGCTTTGCCGAGGCTAGACAGGCGTGTCTGATCCCCAGCCTTCCCATTACTTGCCTCTATGATTGATGCCTTGTAATTACCCTGGATATATGAGCCCGCTCTCAGACAGCTGTAACAAGAGGGTCTGAACAATCTGGAAAAGGCTTTTCTTCCTTGCTTGTTTGAAAGAGATGCTCACAGCATGATGGGGATCTTGAAATCCCACTGGGAACTGCTCCAAGGTAGTTTTCCTAGCCTGTGGCAGCTCTGCAGGATTGTTAAGTACACAAAGCAGCCGCCTTAGCTTCCCCAGCCCCTTATTCCAATGCCTTGGGGCCTGAGGCTGTTGAGAGGCATTAGGTCAGGAAAGATAAGCTTAGCTCAGGAAAGATAACCTATCTTTTCTTGAAAAGAATGCCTGACATTGCAGAATTTAGGTAGCTGGTTACTTTTGGTAAATTCTACAGTTCACACTTTCTCCACTCTGCCTTGGAACTTGGACCACACTCAGGACATGCACTGAAAGTGAAGGCAGAACTGCCCCAGAAACAACTGAATTTTCTTAAAACTTTCCCTTATGCCAAGTGATTAATAAGCAAACAACATGAGTCTCTGCTATAGAATACAACTTAATAAAAGAGACATTTGTATGCATGTATTTTATTGTATGTAATCTAGGAAATAGTATGATTCCTACTTAGTCTTATCCAAATGGAAATTCCCATAGTTGTATTAAAAAGAAAACAGGAAATACAATACAAAGAGAAAAGTTAGGAAGAAAATTTGAACCTTCTTCTGGAGTGAGTGCAAAAGTGCCTGATGATCAACTGTGAAATATATTTTAAGAGTGCAATATAAAAGCAATTTGACCTTCTTTTCCAGGCTGGTAAGTGTTGATATAATCCCCTTGCACAGGTACAGCTGACAGGAGTGTTTCTGTTCCCCTGCCAGCACTTCTGGCACAGGAAAGTTACCAGAGGGGAAAGTTACCAGAATCTGGTGTTCTTCAGTTACTCTAATTAGCTTAACCATGATTAGCAGCTCTTCATCCTGCAGACCCCGGCCTTTGGGCTTAGTCTGGAGCCTGGGCTCAGAGGTTCAGGCAGTTCTGGCTAGTGTTCAGTGAGAATGGCTCAGGCAGCCTTGGTGTGGGGACAGAGGAGCACAAAGCGAGGGTAGATGGGAGCACCACCCTGCTCACGGTGTGGGAGTGTGTTCATTGTCAGCACAGGAGCTGCTGCATTCCCCAGGTCAGTGGATGGGAGGAGGAAGTAGGAGATTAGGAGAAGAATTTTCACTGCTGAGTTGGAGAGTTCAACAGCTCAAAGGTATCCTCCACGACCTGCCAGAGGCAGTTTTCTAGTGGGAAGTCATTGTCCACCAGGTTGACCAAGTAATAATTGTCATGGATGTACTGGATGATCATGCGGGAGGGAGACTCCTCTTCATAGAGCTTGGCCCACTGCTCGATCCACAGTGCAAAGGCCTCATCCTGCCACAGGGACAACAGACATGGGCAGCTGTGAGACTTCTTCATGTTACTTAATTTAGGTACACGTGTTACACATCACTGGCCAGACTGTGGCTTGTTTCTTCACAGTAAAAATGCTCAGAGTTGAGCAAGGAGCTTTATGCTTTCCAGTCAGCAGCAAGTGCTCAGAGCTGAAAGGAGACCCTGCAGTACAATGGATGGCTCAATGCTGCCCCTGTATGTGCAGGAGGGGAGGAAGAGCCACTGTCCACTTTCTTTTCCAGTTTGGTAACTGCTGATACAATCCCCTTGCATAGGCACAGCTGACAGGAGAGCTTCTGTTCCCCTGCCAGCATTTCTGGCACAGGAAAATTACCAGAGGGGAAAATTATCAGAATTTACAGTACAGTAACAGTAGCAGCTCTCAGTCCCTGTTTATTGGGTGCTTTGTGTCTGGCAGCAGCTCTTGCTGGAGCTGAGGGAGCAGGAGGAGCAAGACCTCTGCAAGCCAATATAGCAACAGCCCTCAACTGGGAGGAGTTTCAGAGATATGAACTAAACCACTCTGAACTTCCAGGGCATCACAGCAATGCATGCAACAGAAGGCAGGACTCACCTTCCAGGAGAGGAAGCTCACAGGATCCACTACAGTGGGCTGGATGATCTCCCTGCCTGGGAAGATGCCCCAGGTGACAGCATTGGGTTGCAGATCTGGAGCATTGGTGATATTCTCACCCTGACAAAGGAAGGAAAACCTTTCTGAAGCAACTGCTGGAGAAGGGACTGAGTTAGTTGGAAAAAGTGTATTTACCCTCTCCTTGTTTAGGGACCAGACAGCTGCTGCACACCACAGCTGATGAGCTTTGCTTTCCTTCCTTTCATCATGTCTGAATATTTGGTATTTGTGTCTCTCCCAAGGTGGTGAAAGGAGAGTGGCCTTACCTTGACATTGACAATATGGTAGTTCACTCTCAACTCATACTTCCTCAGCACTTTGAGCAGTGCCCTGACAATTTCACTGGAGGTGAAGAACTCTAGGTATGCCTGCAGGGAGGGATGGAGAAGGGGGAAGAGAATCAGAACCTTAAATCACAACAGAACTGGACAAATATAGGTAAACAATGACAGTTGCAGAGTCTGGGGTTGCATGTTCATTCCCAGAAACACATACTGATTTACTCTTGCTCAAGCCTCTGTGGTGAGTGAGCTAGGGGAAAAATAACTGGGGAGAGCAGAGGGAACAGCCCAGGAACAGTGCACTGAAGAAAGCTACACGCTGCCTGTTTTGCATCCAGGTAAGTCCAGGAGCAGCAACAAACTCCAGGGTTACCACAACTGCACAAGGAAGCTTGGAAGAAGCCTCAGCTTAATCTTTATTTTCCAGGAGTGTCCTGCCAAGGCAGCCCAGCCTGGTGAGAGCAGAACTCTGGGGTCTCAGCTGGCCTCTCCCAAGCACCACCACTCCCTGTCCTCATCTTTTGTTCCCAATTCTCCCCGTGTGCTTACATAACCAAATTCTGTGCTTGGCTGCTCCCAACAACTGCATCCCCTCCCCCCATTTCCTGGCAATTGCAGGAGATGATGGATTTCCCTCACCTCAGGGGAATTTCTTCCTTTGAAAACATAAATGCATTTGCCATCTGCTGGTCTCTGGTTTTACTGGTTTGGATCCCTTTTGAACAAGGATGCTTTGTCTTCCAGTAGGAGTTACTTGCCTGGCATTTACCTTGATGGGATATTCCTGTCACAGCCATTCTAGGGCCTGAAATGCCTGACAGGGGGAGGGAGGCATGACTGCAGCCAGAGAAGGAACATGAGCAATCTAAACAGCACAGTGCATGGGCTGGGGGCAACTGTGGACAACTCTGACATACAGAAGGACAGAAGAAATTTTTAAATATCTATTTATCACCAAGAGATGCTGGGTGGTAGAGATACTACCCCATTGATTCCCATTGTGTGAAAAATCTGGGTGCTTTGTCCATCACTGAATCAGATGCAGGGGCAGGCACATGTGTATACATACAAAATGTCACAGCCCTGCTCTAGAAACGAGTTACCAATAATTACTTGCTGAGAATAAAACCATGAAACTCTACAGATGTTCAATAGATGTTTTGAAGTGGGGGGAAATAGCCATAGAAATGGCATTATGGCTCTTAAGACACCAAAGGAGCTTTGCCTTATCTCACCAAGAATGCAATAAGGTGTGGATAGAAAGATTATGTGGATGTAAGGCTGGGAGCTCCCAGCCTAACAGAGACCAAAGCAGTCAAACTCTGCTGTCCAGCCCAGAGTAATGCAGTACCTTTTGGAAAACATAACCTCCACTGGGCCCCCAGCCCACAATGGGGTCTGTGGATGGTTTGCCATTGATGTTTGGCTGGGAGTTGATGGTCAGGATTCCCCGTCTGTTGACCTTCTCCAGCTGGTCCTTCAGCAGGTTGGTTTCAGTAGCAAGAGGGTCATCATTCCAAGGCATACATGTGACCTGCCATGAGGAGGAAGGATGGTTCACAATGGATGTAACAACCCCTGGATTTTCATCTGGGTGTTGAGGTAACTCAGCAGTGCCTTAACAGTCTCAAACACGGCTGCTTCAGGAGAAGGAGAGAACTCCCAGGTTTGGTTCAAGGGTTAGGATATGCACAACTCTAAGAATGCTGAAGTCAATCAATACTGGTCCTGTATACTCTTTTATGCTGAGCTTTAGCTCTGGCTGCTGGACCCCCTTCAACCAGTGTGCTAGGAAATCCTTTTGGATAGAGAAGTGCTAATTCTTTACAAAAACAATGTGGTATCAGGAACAAGAGGAAATATGCATTATTGTTTGTGGCCCACTGACCATCCCTTCCTGGCCTCTCACCTTGTACCCATTCTTGTTGGGCTCTCCAGTGATGTAACATGTGAACACCTCAAAGACACTTTCCTCACTAGTCAGTTCTTCTCCCCACATCTTCAGGAGCTCCTCACGGGGAGACTTGCTCTTCAGATAGAACAGGTAATAGTCCTTCAGTTCCCCAAAAGCTGGAGAGGAGGAGTTACCCCTGGAAGGGGAGAAGACACAGAGCTGAAATTACTGAGGAAAATGAGCTGGTTTGGTGATGCAGGAAGAGAGCCAAGCATCAAGAGAAGCACACAACAAAACCCACCTTGACACAAAAAGTCCCAAAATCTTGGTGCTATTCATCTCACC